TGCAGCTTTCTGCTTTCACAGAGCTTCTCATAGAAGCTATTTCACAGAAACAAAGGCGAAATTTACATCATGTTTAGAATATTTCTTAATATTTCAACTGCATTGTAATTAATCTATGTTTTCAAAAGGAATATAGTAGTACTACCTGTATTTTATAATTTCACATATTTAAGCAATTCTGTGAGCTACTTGCTCATGAATTTGTACATTTAAAAGTTAGGGAAAAAAGGCTGAAGCTTCTAAAGCTAGCTTAGAATAATACATGAAATACTTTTCTATAAATGACAATAAGTCAATCAATTCTCCAGTGTCCTAATGGCTATTAGAGCCCTCAAAGCAGGAGTAGTGACCAGGGATGGGAGATATGTGAGATCCATCATGAGGGAGATGGCAACACAGGGCATCAAGGCTGTGTGGCCATGGAGGAGTGACTCCCCGTGAAGAAGAGCATGTGACCTATGACCCTAAATGTGCCTACACTTATTCTGCTCATTTTTAACAAGTAGAAATATAAATAAGCTATTTGAAGAGGTGTTTTTGTCATCAGCAGCTATGAAGGAATGCAGCACCCTCTTGCAAGGTTTAGAAATATTTTATTCATGTGTTTTAACATAAACATATTTACAAAGGCAAGCCCTGACTCCAACCCAGAAGATGTATACAACCTGCAAATGTCATAGATCCTTTTAGAAATGAAATGTTGAAGAAGTATCAGCAACGCTATATGTACAATGATAAATTCTATAAATTTAGCATGGGAATTATGAATGCATAGATACTAAGTTATAGGCACATAGTTAAGGAAGGCATGAGAATTCCTACATGTAAAAAATCAATACTTAAACAAATGACTAGAAAATCATCGATGCCTTTCTGCTAGCTCCTGAAGGGGATTCTAATCTCTTATTAATTTCATTTACTGCCTTTCTATTTAACTTTCTAGAATCAGAGGATAATGAATCTTAGCAACTGTTACAGTCCAAGCTCGTTGTTGCATAGCTGTAGATGCTAAGAAAAAGGATAAATGCCTTGTTTTATGACATTTAATGATTAATTTTGGAGCTAGGATTAGAAGCCAGAAGCAAAAGAGAATTCTCTAAATTCTTTAGTGTATTACACTCAATTTTACCAGGTTAGACCAAGCACTTTTGACAGTTAACATTACATTAAAAATCAATAAAGGATTGATAGCTAAAAACCTTGAAACTCACAATAAGCAGTGAACAGCCCATTGAAAATCACCGGCATTCCTGTATTTCTGCTTCACATATTTGCAACATAAGGAGAGGGTCAATAAAATATTAATGTTGTGAAATATTTGGGATTACAAAAGTAGGTTGAAAAAGCTCTCAGATATGCATGCATATCAGCTCTTTCTTGTTGAGACCAGGATCCATCCCAGACTATCTCCTGCTGGGAGAGGGAGCAGAGAGTCAGTCATAAGAAATCATCTAGCAGCAGGACCCAGCTGGATGTACCACTCTGCTGCTAAATTGAAGACAGAGTCAGAGTCTAGTTCCTACTTTGCTGGCCTCCTGTCTTATTGATCTGTGGAATAGTTAAATAAAAAGTACTTGGAATTTTCCCAAGTGTGGTAGGCCCCTGTGATTTGCTCCTTTGATATCAGAGATTCCATTGTTTCTGTAGCTGCTGCAGCTGGCAGGCATCTGAGTGATGCAATGGGGGTCCAGCGATGACCAGCTGTAGAGCTGTCTTGTAATAGGTGACATCTTTTTCAGATGTGTGAATCTGCCACATGTTAGTACACAACGTGTCCACTGGTGAAATATTTGTTTTCCAAAGCTTTCCTACTCATTAACACTACTGCCACCAGTATCAAACTTCTAAGACATCCTGGCTTGAATTTTCCCATTTTTGTAAAATGTCTCTTAAGTGCTTTGGACAGATATCATCTCTCCTTTATTTGTGATACTCTAAGATTCTGTCTTTATCTCTACTGTGAAATTCATCCTCATGCATTGTACGTGGTCTTCTGTATGTGCCACATGAATAAGGGTTTAGTTCTCTCTCTATCTGGAACTCCAGATTCTAGAAAAACATTTGATTTACAACAGGTTTTAATATAGTTATGCAGATAGAGTGTATACCATGTTGCAAAATCACTATTTATATTGAATTTGCCTTTATGCAGATGATCTTATTCGGTCCAGTTTAGTCTCTTCTTAAAAAAAATAACTTCAAAAGAGAATTGTGTTGAATCAAAATGTAGTTATTCTGTAAGGCCCATAAACACTAATTTGGTGTTTATTATGGTTAGAAAATCTAGGTACTGGGAGTAATGGTATTTAATATAACAACAAACAAAAGTAATCACCATATTCTACTGAAATTTGAGAGAGATATACAGATAAATATATAAATACGTATATTCTGTATCAGACAGTGATAGGTGTTACCCAGGGAAATAAAGAAAAAGCAGCAGCTTACAGGAACAGTGAGGTTAGCTGGCATTTTTATATAAAAGTTCAGAAGAGCTCATTTTTAAAATAGTTAAATCAAGATAAACAACATGGAAGCTAGGTAGATATATAGGGAAAGAACATACTGCAAATTGAAATTAGCGGTTGTAAATGTCTTGTGATTGATATGTTGGAAGAAAAACAGTAACGTTAATCTTCCTAGAACCAACTGATTTTGAAGGATATAATTCAGAAGAGGTCAGAGAATAAGTGACAGAGAAGGTATCACCGTAGATCACGAGCATATGAAGAATTAGTGGAGGGTTTTAATAAAGGAGTAATGAAATTTTGTTGCTATCATAGAAAAGATTTCTTTCTAGCTGCCATCTGAGGAACAACCTAAAGTGGAAGAGCATAAACAAGAGGAGCACACACTGAGTGCATCTGTCTGCCAGGGCACTGTAGACACAGCCAAGCACTGCAGCCTGAATAACTCGAATAGCATTATTCTGGAGGCTAAAAGTCTGAGTTCAAGGTGTTAATAGCACTAGTTTCTACTGAAAATTGGGAGAAACCTGTTCCATGGTGTCCTAGTCTCTGCTGGCTGGCAATATTTGGTATTCTGTGACTTATACAAGTAGATTCTTCACCTTAATCTCTACTTTTGCTTCCCATGAAGCATAATTTCTGTGCTTATCTGTCTATCTAAATTTCCCATGTGTGTGAAGACATCAGTTGCATTAGATTAAGACTAATCAAGTTGATCTCATCTTAATTCAAAAACATTTAAAATTCCATATTTCAAATAGGGTCATGTCAGTGCTATAAACCGGGTTTTAACACGTTGTTTTGGGCTGATACAATTCAATCCACACCAGTCATTTTCAGAAATTGTACACCAGGCATTTTCAGAAATTGTACGATCGAAAGATAATAGTGACTTCACAGCACAAAGAAAGAACAGGTCTGTAAAGTAATTATTTTTAAAATAGAATCAGCACTTTTTTATTAAGTGGGTGTGAAGAATAAACAATAAAGGAAAGTAAAGGAGAATTCAGAATGTTTGTCCTGAATAAATGCTGTGTTCTGAGACTGAAAACACTCCAATGAGAAGTAGATTATAGAGGAAAGTCAAACGTTTTGTTTTTGGAAATGTTAACATGAATATTGAGATCTGATAAGATTTCTAAAAAGGGATTAGAATTTATATACAAGTCTGATGCATAAAAATTTATAGCTCACAAAGTCTTAAATCATCTTAGTCCAACAAATTGCAATTGTAGATGAAACTGGTATTTTTCAAAGTACTTATTTTAAAAATAAAACACAGTGTTCCAAGAACAGTGAAACATGTAGTGACAGAAATACAGAAAAAAGAAAAAGAAAAAAGTCTTAGCTCTTTTGATTTCTAATCGAACACTTTTTCCATTCTATTATTAGACTTTCATAAACATTTTTTAGTTGAACTTGCAGTTAGTAAACAGCAGTTGATAGCATAATGCAACAAAATTGTTAAAATTGTTAAAATTGTTAAAAATTACAAGTCTGTTTCCAACAGTTGGGTGACAAAGATTCTTGCTTAAGGTTCTTGTTCTCTAATTTATTTTCACAAAATTTCTGAATATAAATATCTAAAAATATTGGAAGGTAGAGCTATTTTGGAAATCGAACAGTTTCTTCTTTTCTCTAACACATTTTCAGAGTTCTAATGCTGGACTTGGGGCTGAGACTGTACTACCTTGAAGTAAGAAGAATGAATGCTTGTGAATCAATCAGCTGTTCAACTCCTATCTGCCCACATATTACCCAGCAGCTGACTCAGTCTCTAGAGTCCAAGAGATTGTGTTGTTCACTTGAGGATTTGGTTGAGATCAGTTGTCTATGCCTGGCACTAAATTTGCATTTCAAGAGATTCTAAAGGATATGATCAGTGTGCCGATATTCTGCTAGTTTTGAGCAAGGTTTAATTTATTTCATGTTAACATAAAAGTCCCTGAACTTTCCTCTTGATTATTTCCATTTTGTAAAGAATATTTGTTGAAAAAGCTACAAAGTGATGTACAGCAATGTTATTTATAGTATACTCATAAATTTAACATATTTATACAGAACATATGATTTAAAAATATGGAGTATTCCTTGATAAATTTAAAACTATTTTAACTGCTGTAATTTGGTATTTTATCATAATTATGATGACACTTTTTAACCATCATTGCAGTAGATTTTTAGTCACAGATGTAAAAAATATAGTTACTTTAAAGGATATATAAATGTTCCATCCTCTAGGAGTTTATGCAGCTGAGGTTATTGTAATTATGGACCCAATAGAAGTTGACTGGAGTTAGTGGTGGTTTCATTATTTTTCCATAGGTAGAAGCTACTATGAAGCCAAGGCAAATTTTAGAAGGATAGTACAAAATGGATTTGCCATCTCTGACATATATATTTTCATAGCCACCTAATGTTCAGAGTCAAACTTCATTCAAAAGCAGCCACTAAATTTATTAAATGTTATCCCCTATACATCCTTGAAGTAAAAAATTCCACCCACAACCAGAGGAGATAAAGAAGAATCAATTGCTCATTCAACAACACATATACTAAAACTGGAACGATACACAGAAGATTAGCATGGCCCCTGCACAAGAGTCAAAAGTAACCCTTTTGTCAAATTATTTGACTCATTTTTGTAAATCTCATTATTTGTATTTTGATATCAATTTTGTGCATAAAAACATAAAATATGTACCATGTACAAATTATAAATATTGATGGTTATTTATATTAAATTCTGTTTTTTAAAAAAGTTGACTTTAGATTAAAATGCAACAAAATCAATTTCATGAGAAGGCAACATGGCTACTTGCCTGTGAATATATTATTTTCTAGGCATGTATTGGAAAAAAACATGTTAAAACAGATAAAACTAAATGTCATCTCTTATGTAACCATACTATAGCTAAAATGAAACAAATCAGATAAATACAACTGCAATTTTTATGCTGCACTGATAAATTTTATCAGCCAAAAATGAAATCCATGTTTGTTGTGCTTAAGGAATAATAGGTAGTGCTGTAGATTGCAGTACCCTGGAGAGTCTTGGGGCAGATGCAGTAATTTAAGTCATCTTGGACACTCACTAAAGCAGCCAAGTATGAGGGCAAGTGAATAGAAATTCCAGGCAAAATAGTTTTGAACCACTTTACTTTCCAATGGTTTTAAAAAACAGAAGTGATTTTGTTCTCTCCCAGGTGACTTGGTTCTGACCTCAGTAGAAAGCAGGAGTGGAATTCTCAAATTCATTTCAGTCTGGCCTTTCACTTGGTGATTTACAAATAAAAGCAGAAGCTAATGTGGCGTGGAGATAAATATATGCATCCTCCGCTGTAGTGCCCAGTAGAGGGCAGTGAAAAGGCAGGACTGTAATATGAGATCAAGCTCCTTGCTTCAGAGTGAATCTAAAAAAAAAAAAAAAAAAAACACCACCAAAAAACATAAAAACAAAACTGAAAGTTTGTTTCTCACGGAAATCTATCTACACTTTTTGATATTTATTCTTCAAATGCAATGTGAAATTGGCATTATTGTTATTTTCAAATTTTGATTCTTTAGACTATGACTGCTGCCACAATGCATTCTCTTAGTAATTAAAAGGAATCAGATACCTAAAAGATGATTGCTATATTTAGCTTACATTGGTTATCATTGATAGCAAAGTAATTGCTAGATTTTGCAGGCTTTTTATATTATCTTTTGTATTGGAACGTTAAAACTGCAACTCCAAATTTTGTCTTTTTTTTTTTAAAATGATAATATTTATTGAATATCATTAAGTTCAAAACATTACTCATGTATCCCTTTTTAAATGCACTAAATGTTAATCTTTCAACACAAGTTGACTTCTATATTATAAATAAATGTATAACAGACACTGATAATTCTTTACAATAATTTTTCCTTTTTGTTCTATAAATTTTAAAATTTATGAAAACATTAAAATATAGTTAATCAATATCCTAAATGTAATTAAATTTCAAAATACTGCAAAGAAATTTAAAAGGTTGGCCATAATAGTGAAAGGACACTTTAAATAAATTATAGATACAGAAAATTAAAAAGCATATATTATTATATGATAATTCATGCTGTGCTATATCTTTCCTGATATAAGCTTAACGGCTAATGGCAGTCTGCTTGGACACATGCTGGCCTTTCCTTTCCAATCACTAAGACTATCATGCACATCGCCCCATATGGTTTGTGCAGCCCTTCAGAGTGAAGCAAATACCGTTAATGACAAAAAAAGTATATGCGAATGATATAACTTGCAAGAAATTCTGAATATTAACATTTCTTCAGTTTTGCATTAAAGACCAGTCAGGGTTCAGTGGACATTTCCAACTTGTTCTAATTTTGTAGAATTCTCAGCACTTGCCATCTTTGGAAAGGTAGAAAAAAAAAAAAAAGTCCAGTGAGGCTTTTGAGTTCTGTATACCTCTCTGTTGAAGAAAGGCTCAGTCTCCATTGTTTATTTTAATGTCATCTAACTCCATGTGTATATGGACTGTACATAAGAATAGCCATGCCTGTGTTGACCATTTACAGCTGTGTCCACGGTGGTGCTTGTAGTAATCTGTCCTCTATATGGTGTGATGCCTTTTTTTCCAAAATGAAAACAGAGAGACTTGAAAGCTTTACCTTTAACTCTCCCTGCTCCACAAAATGACAGTCATCATCCAGGGTGGTTAGGTTTCTCTAAGTCTTCTTTGGAAGCTGCCAAGATGTGGTTACATGCAGACACCTTGATATGGAAGTATTTAAATACTGGAGACTGGCAGTGGGAGGCAGCAACCCAGTGATTTTATCTGGAGCCCTCTACAGCAGGATGGAGCAGTTTCACTTGGGGGACAGCAGTGAAAAGTGTGGCACCACATGGGGGTACACTGGGTAACAGGCTAACGGGCGGCATTTGGCTTGTATCAGAAAAATGACTCCAAAGCAACGGAAAGACAGAAAATAAGCTTTAATTTCTTCCCTTGAAATTAGGTCCAGCTTCTGACTACTGTTCTGTGTTGGTTGGGGTTTGGATTTCTCTCTTCCAACTGCTTCGGTGTGCAGTGCGTCATTCGCTCCAGCTGGAAAATATCATCTTTAGTTTTTTGGAGACAATTTTATAAACCATATATACATAGAACTTCCTTCATGCATTTATTAATTGATTCTTGCATTCTTGCAAAACATCTTACCAAGGCCCAGGTTTTCCTTAGTTATTGAGGATGTCAGTGAGCAAACACACAGAAATTCTGGCCTCCTTGGAGCTTATGCACAACAACATTGTGACAAAAAATAAATATATATCACATACACATGGAGATGGTGTGTAGGTCACATAAAAAGAAAAAGTAGGGATATAGTGTGTGCGTGGTGAGTGTGAGGTCTTGAGTTCGATTCCTGGTACAAAAAAAAAGTGAAGCAGGAAATAGAAGAAATGATGACTTGGTACAAGGGGAAAGTTTTACTTTTTGATAAAGTGACAATGAAAGACGAACTTGTTAAAGGAAAAGAAAAAAGTGTTTGAATGTGTGTATGTGAGTGTTCACACGAGTGTGTGTGTGTGTGTGTGAGTGTATGAAATGGCGAACATACTGATCCAGGCTTCGGAACGGTGGTATTAGGTTATTCCAAAGCAATCACAGCCTAGTACCACACTATTTTCCTTTCTCTCTTTCTCCATTTATTTCTTTCTTCATTTAAGAAACACTTACTGAACATCTAGTATGTATTCTTTTCCAGTCACTGTTACATTGCAAATGAGTAAAATTGAATTCCTTAGGGGAAGTACTGTTTTCAAGGAATATCTAGGTATGAGTCCATTTTTCCTTAAAATTTTTTTCTTACATTAGTTTGAGGTGGTCATATATTTCCTTTCTGTCACTCAACACTCCTTAAAATACCTGAGATCTGGGAAAGACATTCTGGTCACCTAATTATTTTGAATACTTTGTGAAAGCCTCCTATGGAAGTTAAGTCCCTCCAAGATCATATGATGACCTGCAGGAAGTCCAGATCTCTGTGTACAGTTATGTAGCTCCAGCTTCTATTAAGTTTGCCATGCCACAGAGGTTAGTTTTCGTTCCCTGACCTTTTGCCATTTGGTATCTCTTGTGCCAAAACCCCCAGTGCCTCAGAGGCGAGGCTTTTTTGTCCTTCCTCCCTTCTTCACCCTGGGGTTCCCACAGGACCTCAAATTCTCCTCACTCCCCTGAGCAGAGTGTTCAGCTGGTTATGATGACTATCTCCCAATTCAGCCCCATTTAGTATTTGCAAGTCCTATAAGGATTTCAACTAAAAAATTGGCCTAAAATTATGTAAGTGTAATAGAGATTTCCTTTGAAACTTTAATTTTACCTGAAACTTTACCTGAAACTTTAATTTTATATAAAACATTTTTCTTTACACTAACAATAAAATTAATACAATGATTGTTAGTTGAAATCGGTAAACTCCTTTCCCCCATGAATTTTTATTTCTGATCTTTTATAAGCAAGTTCATGGCCATTCACACAATGGTCAACCTTTCCAGGCAGCCTTTGGCACAGGTTTGGTACCCTTCTTTCCCCCGCTGGGTTGGTATGTGTCCCACTCTGATCTGATCATAACTGCTTACCAGGAAACTTTGGCTAATTCAGCTGTGACCCACTCTGTATATTTTGAATGGAGACACTTTTCCTATTGGTGAGGCCTCACAGTTCACTGAACGAGTGCCCTGACAGGCACTCAGTGTATGAACTCAACCCTTGTCTGAAACCTCTTCTCTACCTTGAACAAGAGGCTTTCCTTTTCCATATGCTACCAGGATGCAGAGACTTTCTGCTGTTCACTCTTGATCAAGCTCTCTTACAGTTCTTGCAACACAGCCTCACGGTTTGGATTCTAGCTTCAAAGAAAAGACTGAAAACTTACTTGGATTATAGTGCCTAAGATAGATAACTAAGATAAATATGCAGTAAATCAGACCACAAAATGAAGGGCAAATGGAGCAGATATTTTTTTCATTCATACCGTGGTAGACCCAAAAGCAGCAGAAAAGTATTCCTTATTTAAATTCTGGATTAGCGTTTCTCTATACAGGACTGTTGAGACAGGGCCAAGGGAAAGTGGGGATTGCTCTAGGAATACGCCACAGAGAAGGGAAGGCATAGGTCCTAGCAGGCCTTCTCTGTGTCTTTGGTATCAACAGAGTCACACATCAAATATTTACTAATTGAAACTTCACTGTAGCAATACTCTTTACTCTCTTTATGAGGTACAATTAGAAGTAAAAATCTCTTATTACGGTTTCTGCATGCACCAGTCTTTTCTTAAAAACAGCTTCAGATAAATATTTCTTTCAAATCAAGTGTAAATATTTTCCAAGTAGTAAATGTTTAAGTGATGTAATTCAGCATTATGCTTCTCTTGCAGCTCAGATCAAATCCTCCACACAAGGCCCTCGGTGCTGAGAGCACCACTCGCTTCCCTCTTTGGCTGTTTGCAAAGGATGGGAAAGGCATGGAAAAAAGAGTGGAACAGAAGTTTCACATTTAGAGTCCAATCTAGTTTCTGAGGGCTCATCCCTTTTGTCCTCTTTCTGGAACTGTGCTCAAAGAACTATAGCATAGGAAAGAATGATGTGAGGGAGCACATTGG